TGCCTGATGCCCCACAAACGGTACCCGGTGCCGGCCGCCCTCTTTCCCTGCCCACCGCTCAGCGCGACCGAGTCGGCCGCGTACATGCAGCTCGGCCACGACACGCTCGACAAATTCTTGGACGCTGCCTTTCCAATGACGCATCGGTGCGCTGGAGCCCGCTCGGCGAAGTCGACAACGTCCACGTCTACGAAGGCGAGATGCCCGGGCTCAAGCTCGACCGCCGTACGTAGCGCCGATTTGACAGGCAGATCACTCATGGCTCGTGGTATAGACACTCTGCCGTACCGTGCGATTGGCCGCGTCCAGGCGACGCTGCCCGAGGTCGCGGGGCTGCACAACTTTGACACCCGCGACAAGTGCCTCGAGTACATTTACGAATACGCCGGCGACATTATGGACATGATGCCGCTCTACACGCTCGCGTCGAGCGACGACGGCATGCACCGCATGTACCTCAAGTGGGTCGCGTGCGCGACGCCGGTACCGGTTGTCCGGGACCGCGATTTCGTCTTCCTCGAGGTATAGTTCGATTGTTTGAATATGGTATGAAGTCACCCTACCTGTAGACGCAAGATGCGTTTGAACGGGACGGACGACGGGGCTGGGCCTTTTGCCAGTACTCGGTCGACTTGGCGTGCTGTCCATCCCTCAAAGACACGGAAATGAACCTCGTGCGGGGCACTCTCAACTACACGGGCGCCGTCTTTCTCGAGACGGACGAGCCCGGTGTCCTCGACGTCATTTACCACGTCGCGACCAATTTTAAGGGCCACATTCCCGTGCTCTTGCGCAAGATTCACATTCGCCACCGCGCCGCGCGCAAGATCTTGAGCATCCAAGACTATCTCCAGCGCCGACGGAACTACACTGGTGTGCGCTCGTCGCTGCTTGACCCGTCGCGCTGCGCCGTGTGCGCCCACAGCAGCACCCGCTTCCAGCGCCTCCGTGCCTGCCACGGCTGCCACCTGGTACGGCTCTTGCGTCACAAGCTGCCAAATGGAAACGAACACTCATATACCGCCACATTGTAGCCCGTGTGTGCGCATTGCAGTCGCAAATGGAGCCGCCACGGCGCACCAAGCGTCCGCGTCTGCCAACTTTGCTCGGCCGGTGCACGCCAAGGCCTCATCTCGTCCATGCGCAGCACGTCGTCGGGTCGAACCTTCTCGTCGTCGTCGTCGTCGTCGTCATCGATGTCGTCGGGCATCAGGTCGCCCCGCCACACGATGGTTGGGCGCAGCACTGAAATGGACTTGTCGTATCTGAACCTCTACCGCAACATTCCCGAAGAAGCTAGCGGCGGCGTCTCGCCAGTCTCTTCGTCGTGCGTCATGTCGTTGGACGTGGGCGCTTGGGACGACGACGACGACGTTGTCTCGGCTACGATGCGGTCTGAAGCCGATCTCAATGCCGACTCGCACGTCGGCTTTCGCGACGTCCTAAGTCGCCTCACGAGCAAGCTTGCCCGCGTGCATTGACGCTGGCAGCCACCGTAGCCAAGGATGTGGCGGCGACCATTGGAAGTCGACGTCATCGTCATATTCTATAGTGTATTTATTGGAGAGAAACATCATTTTGAACCATGTCCCTTTGAGCTGCACCAACAGAGACGACAACGTCGTTGACAGCACTATATTGTCAAGTGCTATTGGCACACGAGATGCCCGTCTCCACAACGCCAGCGGCGGGTGATGAAGGAGGCTATTCTTCTCTCGATGTATACAACGTCTGTGGTATAGTTTTTGCACAAGATTGCCCGAAAAGCGGCGCGAAACACAGAGGTATCTACGCAGATCCGCCGATGCGCCGCTGGGTGCGGTTAGGGTAGGGTAGGGCAAGGGTAAGGAGAGAGGATCGAACGCAAGATCTTGAGCTCTTTCGATACCATCCAACGATCCGGGTGGGTGTATCTATTTGCGTTGCACTTGGGGAGACGAGGAGGGACCGCCCGCCTATTGCGCCCGTTCACGTTGGTAGAATATCGCACGTCCATGCGCGAAACGCCATCGTTTCCTTCGAGTGCCAAAAGCCTGCCACGTAGATGACTTGGCCTCATCCATGTAATTGTATGGGTGGAGGTCTGCGAACGTCGGTATGTTCGCCGACGTGGCCATCGACGAGTGTGGCTGCCATCATGCAAAGGAATCGGAAAATGTAATCCTTCCGGATAGCTAGCCTCAACCGCACAAGCCACAAACCGTGGCCGGACAACTCGGCCGACAATTCGACTCGACACTGGCGACGGAGGCTATTCCTGCATAGACTAATGGGTTGGTAGGCCATATACATCGGGTTGGTGTAATAGGCGTGTTTGTGGTGTCCATCTTTGATTTCACCGTGAATTTAGCACCAAAATGTATCAGATCGCAGTTGTCGGAGGTACAGATCACACGTCGGGAGCGACTCGATGGGATCTCCAGCCTACAATTCTTAGTAGGTGTTGTGTGTCGCCGGTGGTCGAATAAATGGCCCTGACTTGGGCGCATACATGGGTCGGGAGAAGGTGTGTCGACCGCAGGCCAGCCATGCGATTCGCGAGGAGATATTTTATTCGCTATCCAGTCTCGATACGGGATGTTCGGATCTCGTTTCATCGGCTCCTCGCCATTGTTTCTGCTCCACCTCGAGCACCAGCAGTCGCTGGGATACAGGTCCATGCATGCTGGGTCCATGCATTTTTGGCATAAAAGCTCTATGGTACGCACGGCGTCATAATATATCAAGGTGCAGTATTCAAGACCATTGTGTACGACACTATCTTATGCATCCATTGTCTCTATGAACATGCTACTTGAATGTTCGTTGACAATAAAAATTCGTCACGATGGGTTGGCTTCAATCAATGCAACAACGCGATTGGCCAAAAGATCCGATTTTGGCGCTTTGAATTGCATCCATTCGGTAATAACTGCCAATCAATCGGCAGAATGTGTCTCGGGTGCGATCTTTCGATGGACAAAGACGTTGCACTGTACAGTACCGATGCTCAAAAATGTCGACTCTCTGCGGGCTGGAAGCGGTGCTTCTTGTTGCAGGACGCGACGACGACGATCAGGTCGTCCCTCCTGGAACGACCAAAGGTCGTCGGCTCAGATCGCAGTACGCGCGCCGTCGTCGGCTGCACAGACATGGTCGTAAGCATGGCCATGTCCTGCTTATCACGACGAAGAAAGCCCAACAGCCCGAGGCAGACTCCATGACGACTCGTGATAGTATTACCCTCTCGTCCACTCGAGAAGGCGATGGAAAGGCAGGTAGACGAAGCGTCGGCCCGCCGGCCTCCCGATTGGCGCCAAATTGGCTCTTGGTTTCAGCAACGGCCGGTGCGCCGCTCCGCTTTTACAAAACCGTATGATGCTGATTGCTACAACCCGATCAGGCCCAACCGTTGCCCGCACGTTCCGAGTGCTACGCTGGAACCCGTGACCACCTGCATCCAGGTTGCTTTAAATGCCGACGGTCTACACGCTATGTACTGCAAAGCGTCTTCTCTGAGGCCACCAAGAATAGAACTACGTAGATATGCAAATGTCCACCGAGATGGCAGTGAGTTGTGTTGCTATCCGTCCGCCCTGTCCGCCCTGGCTCGGTGCGATATCCGATGGCAACCTGATTCCCACCCGCGTATTTTCCTTTCTACCCCACATATTTCACATGCCATCGTGCCAAAAGAGGGTTTTTATGGACCCGATTTCGTCACTCGTCCAAGAATTCGCTTAATAAGTACCAATCGAGCACATCGTGATGCATTTCGTCCGCTTTCGACGCATTTTTCCCACCCATGGTATTCATGAGAGCTCAAGTCCTTTCTGCACATTGCATGGCAATAACAAATTTCTATTGTAGGATGTTCTTGGACACATCTGTACGTCTACCTTATGGGCTCCCTAGGGTCTGCGCTTGCGTTCGATTCAAAATGTCGTATCTAAGAGAATGGCTCCGCGAGTACCGTCTGGTGCAAACTGGCCACACCTTCAAGTAACCTGGTGACACGTGGGAAGAGACAGCCTAAACGGCAACAGTGTCGAGTCGCATTCGCCAACTTATCCCTCCTCGAGCATGTTTGGTGGGCACAAGCGGCACGGCTACCCGGTCCGCGATGATTTTTTGCCATGCAATTCGCTCCCATCGACGCGCAAGGCCGAGCTCGCCACGTTTGGGGCCTCCGCGTTTGACACATTTGTTCAAAAGGCGGTCGTCGGCGACCGCTCGATCGCGTGGAACCTCATTGACGACACGGTGGACCAAATCAAGCTCTACGAAGGCCGCGTCGCCTTTCTCGACAAGCGTAGTGGCTCCATGATGCGTGCTACATGGTCTCATCATCCTCGCTCTTGTACCAATAGATGGTCTGCCGTACTTGGCGACGACAACGTTTGCAGGCGAGCTTGCAACGATCGCGGGACTCCATGGCGCGACGACGCACGCCGACTGTGTTGCGTTCATTCGATCGTATGCGCCGGACGTGCTCGACATGGTCGTGCTCGAGATGTTCCACGAGGCGCCGCGACCCATGACCCTCAAATGGAGTGCGGTGGCGAGTCCGTGGCCGCTCACCATCAGCGACCGCGATTTCGTCTACCTCGAGGTACACACCGTGTTTGCATGTTGCTTGAACCGCAACGTTGCAATTGGGTTGTAGATTTCCGACTACTTCCACTTGCCCGACGGGCGACGCGGATGGGGCTACTGCCAAGTGTCGGTCGAGCTCGACCACGTGCCGTCGCTCCAAGCGTCATCGCTCAAACTCGTACGCGGCGTGCTCTGCCACACGGGCTGTCTCTACATTGAGAGCATGGTCGACGACGGCTGCGTCGACGTGATTTACCACATTGCGTCCGACTTTCGCGGACGTATTCCGTACTGGGCGCGCAAGCACGGCATTAAGAGTCGCGTGCGGCAGCTGCTTTTGCTGAGCGCGACGGCGCGGGAAGACGCGGCCAAGCGCAAGCAGACGACATGCAGTTTGTGCGAGAAGGCGGGCTCGCGGCTCTTTCGCCGGCTTCGGCAGTGCGACGGCTGCAGCGAGGTACGGCGCGTGCATGCCAAGGAGGCTCATGCGGTATGTGCGTAGATGGTGTGCCCCAAGTGCCGCGAAAAATGGGTCCACGCCGATGGCTCGAGCCGCCGCCTCTGTACGTACTGCAGCTGCACGGACCGCAGCACGAGTAGTGTTCGCGTCTCGCGCCGGACCCAAGGGACGGCGTCGTCGACGTCGCTGCCGACGCCACCAAAGAGCTACAGCCAGCGACACATGCCAGCCATGGACTCGCTTCGGGGCCAAGGGCAGCGGTCGTCCTTTTCCAAGTCGGAGATGGACCTTTCGTACCTCGGGGCATACCGCAAAGCGCCGCCGCCAACGGCGCCGGCACGTCAGATTTTGTCGCTCGGGCTGTAACCGCGCGTCCGTCGCGGCGAGAATAAAGGGTGTATTTATGCGCAAATTTGGTACTCTAGCTTGCATCTCTTGCGACGTCTCTAGCGTGCGAAGAACTCGACATCGAGCTATTTACTTAACGTCGTTAATCGTACCATTATAGTACTCGAGTACTTACTTGGTCGTCGTCAACTGGGTCGGTGGTCCGTCGGGGGTTTCCGGTACGAGCATTTTACCGTACTGCGACCGTGAGAGATTTGCCAAGCGTTCTGGACGCAATGTACCATTGTATATGCGCCGGCCCGTCGTGACGGACCACCCACGGGCACCGCCAGCGTGGTGTGAACCTTCAGTTTGAATGAGGTTAGACTGTCGTGATGTGCTGGCAGCACCAGAGCGCGCGACGGTTTCGTCGTGGCGCCAATCAGCAACCTCAATAGGATCGCTACCCCTTGCCTTTCGAGAAAGCAGGCGGTACGAAAAGGCCGTTCCTTGACTGACCGTAGGCCACGTGGGGCGGCTATTAGTATCGAGTGTAACCTACTGGCGCGCACGTTGATGTCCTCTCCTTGTCGTTTTGGACGGTCTCTGCATACCGGTACAGTATCGGTAGCGAGATGGTATGTCGTCGTGAGTCATAGAACTCGATGATTGAACACACTATGGTAGTCTGTAGTGCTTGTACACGACAGGGTTCATGCCAGTGCCAGTGCGGATTCGCACCGGCGCTTCCCCACAGGTACAGTACCGGTTTCCCCGGCGTGCATGGGATGATGATGCATGCTGCGTGCTTTTTCCCCACTTGTGTCGCCCAAAACCAGAAGCGCAATTCCGGGTGCGGTGGGTGGGTACGCACGTCGATGCTATCTCGATACTGTGTAGTTTGCTGTCCCAAATCACTCGGTACCCACGCCGCAACTCGCCGTTTGAACGCATCTCCGATGGCGATCGTCGTTCCTGTGGTGATTCGTGCTTGATCGACGTCCATGGCCAGTGCGTTCTTTGGCCATGTCCTGTCGAGGACGCATCGTCCCACGGCGGCTGCTGGCGGTAACCTATGTAGACGAGCTGCAAAGACACCAAAGCCGCGTGTGTCCCTGTATGCACCTGGACATCAACATCAAGACACCCTGTCCTGTCTACGCACCGGCATAGTCAAACCACCGTGCCTCTCAGTGCCCCAACCACGCCTGTACATTGTGGGGAAAAGCGTTTTTCGAGAAACTAGTGTGCCTTAACAACTCGGCCAAGTGCAGTGCAGAGCACGACGCATAGGCCATGCGTCGTCGCTGAATCGCCCACTCGTTGCTCCATTTCGCGCCATGTGGTGGCATGCTTCGGCAAAAAATGTCGCAGCTACCGTGGCCAGGTGACGCTGCCTCGCAATACACACATTTCCTCGTGGCCCACACGCAAGACGATGCTGAGCAGCAGCAGCAGTAGCCGCAGGAAGCTCTACCCGGTCCCGGTCGACTTTTTCCAATGCCCGAAACTCTCGGCCGAGCAGCACGCGTCGTACATTCGCCTCGGCGACGAGATCCTCCAAACGTTTTGACGCAAATTGCGCTCGACTCGCCCGACGACTGGCACCTCGTCGGCAACCACAGCGACGGCGTCCGCGTCTACGAAGGCCTCCGCCCGTGCAAGGACAGCCGTACGTCTCATGGGCTCCTATGATGGTGGATGAGGATGCGCGTCATGTAGGCAACTTGCTGCCGTTCCGAACGACGACCAAAGTGCATGCAACGCTCAGCGAGATTGCACTTTTGCACGCGTTCGACTCGCGGGAGGAGTGCCAGCACTACATTCACATGTATGCCTCGGACCTCGTCGACATGCTGCCGCTCTACACGTTCCTCGAGCGCACGCAGGAGCACCCGCTCAAGCAGACGTACATCAAGTGGAGTGCGGGCCAGAGCCCGATTGGGGTGTTTGCCGACCGCGACTTTCTGTACCTCGAGGTAGACGCACACCTTTGGCTACATGTCGAAAAGTGAACTCGGTCCTATAGGCACAAGACGAAGTTGTGCTTGCCGATGGTCGACGCGGCTGGGCGTTTTGCCAGCACTCGATCGCATTGCCGTCGGTGCCGACGATGGAAAACACCGATTTCAAGCTCATTCGGAGCTGGATGCACCACACGGGGGCGCTCTTCGTCGAGACGGAGACGCCCGGTGTCCTCGACCTTATCTACAACGTCGCGGTGGACTTTAAAGGCTCGATGCCGGTTTGGGTGCAGAAGATTGCGCTCAAGCGCCGGGCGAAAAAGATCTGCTCGGTCAAAGACCACGTCAAGAAGATGCGCAAGCTCGCGCAGGTGACGACGCCGCCGACGACGCCCGCCCACCGCACGCATTCGAGCTGCAAGGTCTGCGCCCAGCCCGCCGTGAGCCCCCGGTCGTGCGAGTGCTGCGCCGAGGTACGATTTATTCTCTTGGCCTCGTCAGCGGACGCTCACACGTTCTAGGCGGTGTGCGAAGCGTGCAGCCGCAAGTGGCGCCGGCGCGGCTGGAACAGCGTGCGCCTCTGCCTCGACTGCTGCCCCGAGGGTCAAGAGCCGCCGAGTGACATCCGCGACTTGATGAAGAAGACCAACACCGTGGCTATTGACGGCCCCAAGCTCAAGCGGTATGCGCGCCGGAACGAACCGCCCACGTTGAGCGACGCGCCGGGGCTGGACCTCTCGTACCTTCAAGTATACCGCAATGCGTCTGCGTCGAGCGTGAGCGATTCCAGCACCGACAGCAGCCCGTACGACGCCCACTGCATCCCAGAAGAGACAGACGAGCAAGATGGTCGACCGTAGTAGCTAATGTAGTCCATCATGGCTCACACGAAACACAGTGCCTTTGTAATCGTGTCTGCCCCGTCGTTGCTTACACTGTCATCACGGCCAACATCCAAGCTGCCAAAACACTGGTAACGATAGGTGGTCGTCACCGTTGATGCGCGATGCGTATCGGTCCAAGCCGTGTGTGCATGGTAATAGCACTCCACCCGCAACCCAGCCCGCAACCATGGCCTTTCTGCACCGCGTAGCCGAGATAAATTTTTGAATTTTCGTCCCCAGTTTGCCGTTGGGAAATCAAAATGATGGACCCTTGACGTGGCGCTGTCGCAGCACGGATGACTGTATACGGATACCAAGACATACATGTAGACAAAATTGTTAACTAATCGATCGACAAAATGGCATGTCCCAGCAGCGACCAGTGGAATATTCTTACGATCCGCATACATTCGGCGCCGTTTTGTGCAACTGTGGCATTTTGCAAAATTGATCGCCCATGTTCAGCGTGCTCGACCAGATTGCACCGGCGGCGATCGCGCGCCGCCCGCGCAACTACTACGCCGTCCCCGAGGTATGATGACCATGCCCCGCGGGCCATCAAGGCGTGCGTAGACGTGTCCGTTTGCAGCGACGCCCGGCATTAGCTTTGAGATTGCGCTGCCCAATGAGACGATGGTCCTCGGCGACAGCCGCGTGTTTCTCATCTTCGGCGCCACTGCGTCGCCCAAGGACGGCATGACGTCGGCGCAGTCGGCGTTCTTTGCTCAAGACGTGGCGAACGTCCGCTCGATCACGTTTGACGCGGCGGCGTTCAGCGTGCCGGGGGCGCTGGGATTTCTGCCTCCGAGCCTCGGTGGCTGGACCGCCGACAACTGCTTTGTCCAAGCGTTTATCAATGCGAACCCGCTCGACCCGGATCCGATGACGTGTGTCGGCAACCTCTACAGTGTGCCAACGCGCCTCGACTGGTCGCGACTCTGCGCCGACGCGCCCACCACGCTAACGCTCTTGGCAACCGAGGTACTCGGATGCTCGGACCACTCGCGATGATGGAATACATCGATGCGTGTAGACGGTCCACGCCACGATCGAGCCGCCAACTTCGGAGTTCCTTCACAAGATGACGATCACGAGCCGGCTCCTCACCGCGCACCACGGCCGGTGTATCGAGATGATGGCTGCGATCACGCTTCCGCCGCAGTACGACCCAGCGATCGCCTACCCGACCGTCTACACCATTGAAGGTAGCGGTGTCGACCACGTCGACGTGATCCAAGACGTATGGACCATTAGGCTTTGGTGGCACCGAGACGTACCTGCAGCGGGCCTACGCGTTTTTGGAGAGCGACATGGGTCTGCGCTGGCAGTCAGGCACGTGGCCAGAAGTGCCGATGCTGCGGATCGTCCTCGGCTCGCGCATGACGTACGGTACGACCGCCTATTTTAGCGCGGTGCAGCGAGTGCATGGAATCGGTAGGCCACACGTCGTTTGCCGATTCGGAGACCAACGGACCGTGGGCGACCGCGCTGGTATCGGGATCCCTTTCTTCATCGTTATGACTCGGTATGGGTGTAGATCACGGAGCTTCTTCCAGCGATCGAGGCCAAGTATCCATCCCACGGACGCTACCTGTACTCCCCTTCTAGTTGTCGATGGTGATGCTGAGGTGGACTAGAATGGGCCATTCGTCGGGCGGCTGGTCGACGCTCTGGTTGCAGCTGCAGTACCCTAGCGTCTTTGACGGGACATGGAGCAGCGTACGTCCTTGACCGGCATGTGCGTTTTTGCCATTTGTATTGCTGATGTCTAGGCCCCCGACCCCGTCGACTTTACATGCTTTCAGGTAGATGACGGATAGAGCCGTGTGTTGAGCGGAATGGTTAGCTGGCCAACATTTACGAAGACGACAACATCTACTGGGATTCCTATGGGCGGTTCGCCCCAGCTCGTTGACCATCCATCTCACCACACGATGCTAGCCAAGTGCCCATGAGTCGCGAGCTTCCTTGGCTCACGGCCAAGCTGGCCAACCAAATCGAGTGGGTTTACGGTCGGGCCAATGGCGGGCAGTGGGACGCGTTTGTACGTACGACACGCGTCTTTGGCACATAGCAGAACGTACTTTTTACGTAGCCCGCCATCTTTAGCCCCCGACGCAGTGACGGCACCCCCGCCCCGCTCTTTGACAAGGTACATAGCACGACGTCGTCACGACTTTTCACGAGCAGCGCACAGGTCACGGGCGATATCGATCGCGGCGTTGCCCACACGTGGAAGCGCTTTGACATTTGCCGGCTCTTGCAAGCGCAGCCCGAGCTACTGAGCACGACCTTGGCAGGTACAACACGACCTCAAGTAGGCTCGAGAGACAACACAAATGTGTGGTTGCCAGGCAAGGTCCACGTTGTGTGCGGCCGCGACGATACCTACTACCTGGACCGCGCGTGTCGCAAGCTCCAAGGGCTCGTGCACGCGCCGGCGTCGGAAGCGAGTGGCAACTACGTGCGCATGGTCCCTGGCAACCACAGCACCATCAAGACGCAAACGCTGTTTGATGGCTTCTTTGCCGAGATGGTGGCCGCCCACCGTCAACAATACGGGTCCATGTAGATCATAGCCCTATCCCTTGATACTCCTTTCTATTGCGACGGTTGTTTGTCGACTTTATGGCATACGATGGGACTGGTATCTGTGTCTGCAAGCCATACATTGTAGTAAAAAATGAGACTTGAGAAAAGAGTCAGTCGGTCAATGGAAGTGCATACTGTGCCCGGGCCGCCAGCCACGACTCGGGGGGCAGCGACGTGGTGTGCAGGGGAAGTCGCACGACGCGCCAGCCTTTCACGTCCAGCGCCACGATCTCGTCGCAGCTGCTCTGGTACGTGAGAATGCCCGTGGGCAAGGCCGATGCGCGGTCCAGATAGTACGTCTCATTCTGGACCCACGGTGCCGACACAAAGAGATAGCGGGCGCCCGCATAGAGATAGCGCGATGCGACGACGTTGGACGCCGGCGATTCGACAAAATACCGCGCGACCAGATACGTCAGCAGACTCGACGCACACACCGTCACGAGCAGCAGGAGCAGGCGACTTTGGCTGCCAATTTCAAGGATCCCGCTGTCGCAGAGAACGGTATCGTCCATGCGGCCGATACCACACGCTTTTTCAATGTGGGCCGAGTGCGAGACCGGCCGGAGCAGGCTCGCGGTGCCTGTCATGAGCCAGATCAAGCATGCATTCGGCGTCGCGTAGTAGCTCGTATATTGCCGCGTGTAGACCATGGCCACATCGTTGACGATCGTGGAGAACCACGTGACTTCGCCGGCGGCGAGAAGCGTCGTGAGCACAGGCGTGGGGGGCACCACGAACCGTGTCAGAAAGCCCGAAAAGTCCAATTCCAGCGTCGCCGTCGAAAGAAGCGCAATGGCGGTCATCGATCGCAGCAGTAGCATGGGTCGCCCGACCCACACCACCGCGCCGACGCGGTTGATCTCAAAGACATTGCCGCCCTCGAATTGCCCGCGGCTCTTGATGATGTACAGGACGACACCAATCGCGACCGCGACAAGAACGCCGCTGACATACAGAACGCCCGACCGGGCGTAGCTCGCGATCGCACGAGGCGACTGCCATTGCGCAACGGGCTGCTGCAGAGGCTCGTTGTACTCGCTGAGGACTGTGAGGCTGCCGACGTCCCCGGTGAAGCGCAGGACATCGCGCTGCCCAAGCACCCAGTCGCAGAGGAACCACCATCCAAAGAAATGGAAGGACGTGTCGTCCGGATCCATAATGTTGGCAGCCAGTAGCGACAGCGGGTCCGACGGCGCGTTGGCAACGAACTGAATGAGCTGAATATCGAGGGCAGACACAAGCGACGTCGCTCTTGTGACGAGCGCTGGCGGCACGCGCGGCAACAGGCGGCGCGTGAATCGGATGGTTTGGTCGAGGTACAAAAGGCAGCCGGCCGCATTGGTCGCATCTTGCGCACAAATGGCGCTGAGATTCAGGTTCGCCTCGGACGTGATGCCCGACAGAATCGCTGATAAGACCATATACTCGCGGTTGGGCTGCACTTGCGTGTAGATGCCGTTCGAGGAGCACACGAGGCTAAAGCTCGCGAGGTTGACGATCCCGGCGACGACGCGGTTGTCGCCGCTCTGCGCGAGCTCGCTGCAGAGAAACGAGCCACCGTACGCGTTGAGAAAGCGTGTTTGCAGCCATGCGGCCGGCACGGGGTGGACGGCACTGCTGGTGGCAAACCCAAAGAAAGCGGCTTGCAGCGTCTGGTCGGTGGCAATCGTCGCCCGACCGATCGCGGCAATCGACCGGACAATCGACAAGACGTCTTGTGGCACCGGTACAAAGTACACATCGATCGTGCCAAAGGGTCCGAGCAAGGACCGGACAAGCGAAAACACAGCGTTGAACGGCGTCGTGAGCGTTTGGTGCGATATCAAATGCGACTCCATCGACGCGTTCGCATAGCGGTAGTGTGGACTGGACCGAAGCAGGCTGGTCGTCGCATTCTTGTCGCGGACCAAGTCGTTGGCGAGGCCCCAGTACATCTTGAAGCTCGTTTGCGCTGGGATGCGGTACACGCTCGGCTGGGTCTGCAGCGTGAACGGGTACAGTACACCGAACGCGTTCATGATGCGGTAGTGGTTTGTGATGCCAATGCGCTTGAAGTTTTGCCATTGCGGCGTATAGTGGCTCATGTTGAAGCGGCGCCAATACGCTATCTCATCGGCCACGACATGAAATGGCGGCGACCCCACCTGCAGCGTCTGCTCGAGCCATGCCAAGCCCTCGGTCGATTGCTCAAGTTCGTTGGTGATAGCGGTTCCAAAGGCATCCCCCCAGCAGCGTAAAAACGCCGACATGTCAATGTTGCGCAGTGTGAGCTCCAAATAGACAGCGCCGTTGGTGGTCATTGTCGCACAGCGACGCTGGCGGGCGGCCGAGGCGGCCATCTCCCAGCGCTGGTGCACGTCTACATAGCAGTAGGCCGTAAAGATCCACGGCGCGTCGCATCCGTTCGTGGCGCGAAGTCCTTGAATGGCGTCTTGGATCACCGTTAGCTGGGTGTATTGCAGCCGCGCTCCGTAGCTCGCCGACGACCCGATCATGGCGCTTGCGTCCGGAAAGAGGCTGGGCCAAAGGATATCCTCTCGCGTCAAGTCCGTCACTTGGCTCGTCAAGCCAAGGAGGAGCTGCTGGTTGAGCCAATTCGCATACAGCGCATGGGCGCCCGTCAAAGAAAACGTCGCCCACCACAGATCGTTGGCCAAGTTGACGTTGGCGAGTTGCATGTACGAGACGCTCGTGACGACGCTGCCGAGCACAAAGCAGAGGCCGGCGACGGCCCAAAACCCATGCGCGGCCCAGGACCCAGGCCCCGCCGCTGCAGTCAACGCCGGAGCGCAGGCGTCGGTGATCCCGGTCCGGTGAGGCCGAAGCGACCGCTGGTGGGTAGACGACCGCGTATCTTGGAGGAGGAGCCAGAGTTTGATATCGAAGGTGTATGCGACCCCCCGCAGCGTGAGCGTCAGAAGCCCCGTCATCGCACACGACGCCGGGTCCATGCTCCACTCGTGGGTGCTGGGGGGGCGGAAGTAGGCGTCGGCGGCCCCTGCCACGACGATCGGCGACGACGCGTGGCGTCGGTACTGCCGCGTGCGCGACGTGATGGCGACCGCCGCCAGCGCCGCCAGCACTTGAACACCCACCAGCTCCAGGAGGCGGATGGTGTTGCCAATGTAGACGGTGCCGCTGTGGCACACGAGGGCAAAGTCCATGTTGACGCTCGAACACTGCCGCTGCAGGCGCGTCATCGTGCGAATGGGCGCCGCCACTTCGAGAAGAACCGTGCCGAGCCACGCGAGGAGACTTCCAATCGGGCCGTACACGCTGGCTTCGTACGTGGTGTGCACCATGGTCATGCCGAGCACGATGTAAAGGAGCCACGTCGTGTCGCCCGCGAGCACGAGCGTTGCCACATAGGACCGTGGCGCAAACTGAAACCTTGGACGTGCATTGGTGTGCAGCGCGGTCTGGGACGTACTCAGGATCGCGATCGCGACCATGGAGCGCAGGAGGAGAAACGGTCGGCCGATCCAGACAGCGCCGACCGCGCGATGAAAGAAAAACAAATTGCGGCCGACGACGCGGAGACGCGTCTTGAGAGCGTAAACCGTGACGAGCGCGCCCACGGCGCACTGAAGACCGGAAAAGTACGTCAGCAAGTAGTAGACACCCATGGACGCCGATTCGACCGCGTTGGTCCGATCCAAACTCGCGACGTCGCCGTACGATGGGTGCACGGTGGAGATCAGCGTGACACGACCGACATCCCCTTCGAGCGCCACGACACTGCGTTGATGCAAGATCCAATCGTGGACGAGGAGCCAGCCGTAAAAGCGCCAGCTCGACGACCTTTCGAGAAGCGGCTGCCGAAGCAGTGCCCAACTACCATTATTGGCATGCGTTGCAAACTGGACGATTTCGGCGCCGACAGAGGCCGTGTCGAGGATCGCCGCATCGCGCTGAACTTGCAGTGCGGTTGGCAGCTCGATCAGGTTGGCGAGTTGACGCAACATCGACACCACGGTGCTGCACGTCGACGACGCGGCATCAAAAGCGCAGAGCGACGTGGTCGACATGGACGCATTGTACAGGACAGTTGCAAATAGCAGCGCGTTCCGCGTCGATGCAATGGTCAGCGGCGACGGGTCGTTCCCGGGGCACGGCGCGTCGAGGTTCACCGTATCCTGCACGTACAATGTTGGAGGCTGCGACGCGCACATGGGGTTGCCGCCATAGTATGTAGGACTGTCGCGTGCCCACGCCGACGGCACGGGTGTCCACTCGCTCGTTATTGGTAGAGCTTCGTACAAGCTCTGAAATGCAATGTTGTCAGCCAACACCGACTCCAAGAGCAGTACAAAGGACTGGTGAAACGCGAGCAAGGATGGCGGTGCAGCGAGAAACCACGTGTCGACCGACGGGAGCGGCCCGATTGACGCCTGCACGACCGCCGACTGGTTGCCCGGTGTCGGGTAAAAGTTGGCCCATGCTTCGATCGAGACGGCGGGCATCGAGGCCGAGAGATTGGCGCCAAAGTAGTTGGCGCTATCAAACACGAGGCTCCGATTCAGTGTCGACATGAGCCACATCGTGTTGTACGGGATCCAGTACAAGGTCAAGGACGTCCATGGCCCCGAGATACGCGGGAGCTGCTTCAGCGTCACCTCTTGGTTCGACCCGAGAGCGTTCTGGATGGCCATGGTCTCCGAGATGCCAGTGAGCCACCGGTTTTGCCATTGCAGTGTAAAGTGCGTCAGGTTGGCGTTCTCCCAAACGGCGATTTCTTGGTCGATCGAGGTCGTCTCACGCGCCGATGTAGTGGTTGCGAGCCACAAGCGGCCGTCCCGCGTGGCCTCGAGGCTGGTTTTGACCGCGACGTTAAAGTAGTGGCCCCATGCAAACTCAAAAGCTGTCCAGTTGGCATTGCGGAGCAGTGCTTCGAGGTACACGGCGCCATTCGCAACGTACTTGGTCGCACACCGCGCTTGTCGTAAACGCGTGTGCGCGATCTCAAACTTCTTTTCAAAGTCGACGTAGCAGTACTGGGTGTTCATGCGCAGACTCCACGATGCTTGGAGCGTCCGAAGGTTTGTGATGGCGTACGTCACCGTGTTGAGCTCGTTGAAAATCAAATGCTGGGCATACGCCGGCGTCGGTACCGTTGCTTCGAGCGGCGCGGCGCTCTCGACGTCGAGGAAGCCGGCCTTGCGCGTCACGAGCGCATTGTTCACAACGTCAACGAGGTACGCCTCGTAGCTCGAGACGTTGTAGTGCGGCCACCACGTGTCGCTGCTGAGACTCGGCACGGTCAGGGACAAAAAGTACACGCTGCACGCGAGCGACAGCCACATGTACACGAGGCCAGCGACAACAACGAGTCGGTAGCGAGGCTGCCACGCGCGAATCAGGGACAAGAGCGCGGCGTCGACGACTGTCGTGTCACTGGTGGTGGGCCCTGGCGCGACGCGATGCCCCATGCGGCTGCTCGGAAACGCTCTCTTCCCGAAACCGTGCAACAAGGGACACGACACGTGCGCGGGTGTAACCACCGACGCGAGAGGTCTCCGCATTCCGATCACACATAGATAGAGAGACAAGATATGATGTGCGCGGCTAGCAACGTGGCAGTCATACCAAGCAAGTTACCATGTCGAACACTGCGGCGATTTGCAGCCAGGGCCATCGCCGTAGGGGTAGGTTAGGTCTAGGGTTGCGAGTTTTTATGGGACGTAAACCGCGGTACAGACTATACTAAGACGTGTGTGTCAAGGTACAGGCTGCACACATGCCATGCGCGGGCCGTTTTGATGAATAAACCAGCACCACGAATGGAACACGATTCCTGGACAAGTTTTGGACTAGTTGAAACAGTGTATTTTACGCTAGTGAAATGCCGTAGTTGCCAGCCTTGCCCATGCCAATCATATTTGCGCCCTTGTTGAGCTGGATATCGGTTGACGCGGTCCAGAGCATCGTGCCACCGTACTTTGCGGCGCCATCGGTCGCGTACCCGACAAGCTGTGCGCTCGTGGGGCTGGCGCCGTACGAGCAAGCGCCTTGGTCTTTTGGCGTCCCGACGCAGCCGCCCATGATGAGTTTTGCCGGCGGAATCGCAGCGGTCCACAAGGTTGGCACGGTCGTAGTGAGCAGCGTGTCGTACGTCACCTACCAAGAGAAACATGTCGTGCTTCCTGGGAAAAGGGCTAGAAAACGCACGCCCGTCTCGGCATTGTACGCCATGATGTTGACTTCGTCGACAAGGGATGCCAACGCCGGGTCAAAGCAGCGCTGGTAGTCACCGGTCGGCGCATTGCAGGTCGGGTCCATTGACGTAAAGAATTCGTCCCACGTCAAGCCGTACGCGGGTTCTTGGCTCTTACGCGGAAGGGCGTCCAAGTTGGTGCGAAGTGACTGGAGGTACGAGGCGACGTTGGGCGATGCGTTTGTTTTCCAGTCGCCTTTGGCGAGCAAGTTGCCGCTTTCGTCGTCGACGTCAATGCCGTCAAATCCAAACCTACATCGCGTCAAAAATGTAAAAAATGCGACAATATAAACGTACTTTTGCACAAGCGCGGCCGCCGACTTGCCAAACGCAGCAATCTTGGCCGGTGTATCGAGCGAGAGAAAGTTGGCGCGCTCCGTTTGGCCGCCAATGCTCGCGTACTGCTTGACGCACTTTCTACAAAATATCATAAAATTCAAGTGGTGCGCGATCGAAGCGTGTACTTTTTCATGGCGTTGACGCACGTCTGCAGCGTTGCATCGTTGCCTTGGAACGTTTGGGAAACCTCGCCCGTTTGGTTGTTGATGAGCGCAAACCCCCAGTAAATGTGGGTAATATACTGGAACGCATCGCTCTTGACAAACTAAGCAGCACTTGAGCCTCTCTCTTGTCCAAGATGACAGCTTACATCGAGGCACCCGTCCGTGTACGTCTGCCAAAAGACAGCAAACGTTTTCGTGGGCGTCGGGCACGCAACGCAGTCGTTCTTGCTGTTGGCGTAGTACCCGCGGTACGGGCACGTCGCGTTCTTGGTTGGCTTGCCGGCGGGTTTGCCAGGGTCGTTAGACGACGACGACGAGCTCTCGGCAAAGACGCCCGTGTGGGTGAAGTACGTGATCGCAAAGGCACCGCCCGTGATGATGATGGCTACGTAGACAGGTCGCTGTGAGCACAATGGTAGCACGAGAGGGCACACCGGCGCCGAAAAGTGGCCACCAATGACACTTGGCCATGCTTGAACGAAAAGGCAAACTGGGGACTCTGTGGGTGTCAAAGGTGAAAAAGGCAGGGCGCCAAACTTCATGAACCATCGGCCAATCAAAACGCACTACACTACGGGCATAGCCAATCAAAAGCTAGAAAGTGTATCATGTAGAGATTTGACGGGCAGATGCTCGGCAACGTGGAAAGTTGCCTCGACGTTGTCATGGCCATTGAAGCTGCCATTGAACAAACCGAGATGCCGCGGATGAAATTTTCGGGGCGCGCAGAAGGATTGTCTGCAATGCAGGTGGAAGCTGCAGGTGGGCAGATTAACGCTTTGGTCACGTGCCTTCGACTGGAGAGACCACGTCTGAAGATGATTCCTACCATCCTCGGGTTGCGCGGTAGCGAAACGCAAGGCTCAATGTCATTTGACGTACCGATCGCGCCTCGGGGCTTACATCGGCACCCTCACACCGTACCAGCGAGGTGGTGGCGGCTCGTTGTGGATTTGATGGTAGGGGCGCCAGACGCCGACCAAGAAAATACTCGTCCATCGTCCCGACGACTCGTATTACACAGCAGATGCACACTATATTACTACGTGCGGAAGGTTAACGCTCTCGTAAGGCAGATATTGATGACATATTTATCTACGTTCATCAAAACAAGAAAGCAAGATCGTGCCGATGTGTACACCTCCATATACATGAGGCAACTAGAGTAGCCGCACAGGACCTGATCCTAGTCGTCCAACTTGGCTTCCGCGCCACCCCACGAGCTCGGCTCCGAGTTGACCCACGAGTTGGATCCGGACCCGCTGTTGCTTGGCGCCGTCGTTGGGTTCGCGGTGGGATTCTTGACACAACCGGCTTCCGCCAGCGCTGCATCCAGACGACCGCTGCTTTGCAGCTCCTTCAACGCGTCCATGCCGCCAATGAATTGCCACCGATCCAGATGTTAGGCACCGTATCCAGATTTGTGCGGCTTTTAAGGGCGCGAAAGATCTCTTGGCCCGTCGGCGTCGTCGAGGAATCTTGAATGTCGCAGTAGCCAACGTGAGCGCCTTTGGACTTGAAGAGGTCCTTGGCTTGGGTGCAGTACGAGCAGCCTTCAAAGCCGAAAAGCGCGCAGCCGTTGTCCTTGGTGAACTGGGTGATCCAGGTGTTGGGGCTGGTCGCTTGGAGGGCGCGGTGGGCCGAGGTGGACTCGACCAGCATCATGGTGGCGAGAGCGAGAGAGAGAAGAGTCGAGGATGAAAGCATCTTGAGAGGAAGGGAGTCGATTGATTTGTGAGCAGGCTGCACCCGTAGGTACCTCGAATCACCAGCACCTGCGGTGTGGGACGTTTCCGACGCGTTTCCATGAGAAGGTCGTCGATTCCTGGCGCCGAGCTCTGGCGCCGTGGTACATCTCCAACATCGCCCGTGACGTGATGACGCGGGTGAATTTGCTGGCCTTCGAGGGAAACACGGGGTGAATCTGTAGCTCAAAATACATGTCGGTGCTTGTATCCTTTTGACATTAGCAATGGTTTCACACTCCAAGTCCAGGAACCACGTAAACGGTCAGCCCTTCATGGATGAAGTTTGCGCAATGTTGCAAACACGGTGGGCCCGATTCGATTGTTGTGCTATTCGTTGGCATCTATAACGTACCACCAGCTTTCGCCATCCAGCCTGCGAACGCGTCACGTCGGCGGTACGCAAGCAATTGGCTCTGTTGCCTCGCCATCATCACTTTCGATACTCTTATCGCGTGATCCCACGCTGGACCGTCCACGAACGGTGTGGTAATGACTATCGAACGGTTTCGATCCAAGATGGCTCTCCACACCGAGCGTCATGCGGCGATGTGCGGTGCACATGCATTCTGCGTAGGATCTATCAAAGACTGGAAATCGATTATGTGAAGCAGATGGGTTATGCAACAAATCGCAAGCTTCGATTGGGTTGCAAGCTCGCGGAAGGGGGTAGGGGAAGAGGGCAGCCGAAATGATTTGCTAACAATCAAAACCTTTTGGAATCTGTGATCATGCCAACAGTGCCAGGCGCGTCGATACATCACAGAGTAAGAAAAGGGCAGCATTAAACAAGTCATATCGGATGCACGGCAATACATGCGGTGCCTTCGATATCGCTACGACTACATATCGGTAATGGCACGAAGATCGCTCCAGTGTGAGTGATGTAGTACACCTCGCCGGTTTCTGAGTCCACGCCTTCAATTTGCCGCACGTCCGAATAATCATATGATTGTTCTATCGACCCTTCCTCGGCACATCGCGGCGACAAGACCGATGGGAACGTTGTTGCCGCTGGTGGTCACGAGTTCGGTTTTCAGCCACGGCCTCAGTGCGACGCTCAAAACCAATTTCTCTCCACTCCCTTAAGATGACCCTCGACGTTTCTCCTGGGATCACCCAGTTCACCAAGGACAACGGCTGCGCGCTTTTCGGTTTTGAAGGCTGCTCGTACTGCACCCAAGCCAAGGACCTCTTCAAGTCCAAAGGCGCTCACGTTGGCTACTGTGACATTCAAGATTCCTCGACGACGCCGACGGACCAAGAGATCTTTCGCGCCCTCGAGCGCCGCACGAATCTAAACACGGTGCCCAACATCTGAATCGGTGGCAAGTTCGTCGGCGGCATGAGCGCGTTGAAACAGCTACAGAGCAGCGGTCGTCTGGACGCGGCGCTGGCGGAGGCCGGTTGCACCAACCAGCCCACGACCAAGCCCACGACCAAGCCCACGACCAAGCCCACGACCAAGCCCACGACCAAGCCTACGACCAAGCCTACGACCAAGCCCACGGCCACGCCCACGACCAAGCCCACGGTCAAGCTCACGCGCAAGCCGTCGCCCAAGCCCACGACCCAACCCGGAGCGCAGCGCAACGGAACTTTGTCGGATGCGTAGACGGTCGGCTTGTAGTACGCGCTTGCTCTCGTGACGCGATGCCTCTGCGCCTTGATGTTGATGTATTTTGCTCGACTGAAAATCAAACATACTGTCCTCCACAAATGGACCCCATTGAGTAGACACAACAAGGGGGGTTGAAACATAGGACGTTCGTTCTATAGGCCACACCAAGTAGAACTACGCAAGCATAAGTATGAGTATCAGGATTCTCTGCAGAGTACTTCGGACTACCACCGGGTCAAATACTATACTCAAGGGAGCCAGGAGCAGTCGAAGCGTGGTGTCGTATCTGGCAGGGCGTCATCGCCGCCACGTCCTACTCCACGGCGCTACTCGATGGGTTTGTGCTGCTGGCGAGTCTGCAAGCCGCAGTTGCTTTCGGCGGGCTTGTCTGCTGCTACATTCTGGGTACGGCGCCGATACCAACGCACTGCGTGCTCTTGGGTGCTCTTGTTGGCGCGCTACCGACGCTCCTCGCTTGCCACTACGAGAGGTACATAGCCTACTAGTAACTGGTTGATGACCGACTGGACACAAGTACAAAGGACTGTAGGCGGAATGCAGAGGTGCGTCGAGGTATAATAGCGGCTTGACCAACTGCAGATACATTTTGGTGCTTCTTGAAGTGGAGTGTGGTTTCCCGTGTCGCGACGACACTGCAAAGCCAGCTGCAAAGCAGGTGGCTTTCTCGTTTTGGCTCCTCAATGGCGAGCCGTTTGCTTCTCCCCTCTTGCCGCTCACCTCCACTTCTCCTACAGCACGCCAACGGTTCGAATCTGTGCAAACCAGCGACGGCGCTTAGACCAACGTCCATATTACATCACTTTTATGTTTGTCGATGGACTCCATCTGTATGACAGTACAGGTGCATACAACCTGTAGCACATCCACAGGGCGACAAAAGCAAAAGCGCTGGCGGATCTCGCTCCGCCTTTGATCTTGACGCACAATTGACACAACCAATCGACGACGATGATCCTCGAATTCCCGGCAAAATGCTGGCTCGTCTTGACCAGAAGAAGGTGGCCGCGCCACATTCGACGACGACCGTGCTCTTCGCATGCGCAGTGACAACAGTAGTAGACAGGACTCCATTCGGTGAAGTGGACCATGGACTCGTTTGAACAAACAAGGATATGCAGGGATCGTGCGCCTCGAGGTCCTACTCCTCCACGTGCACAAGCAGCCGTCGTATCCGAGGACGACACCACATCTCTCACCCTGCACAGTTTCGCAGCGCGTCGCTTCACGTCTCGTCCAGTGGACCCCGTCCACTGCTTGTGCTGCTCTGACCTATCGCTCGGTCGCAGAGACCTCCCACCGGAGAAAGGACCTCGTGGCGACATTGCGTGTCACCGACGCCCACCTGGCTGCGCGCCCATACAAACTGCAAGTGGTTGTACCAGCTGGCGCGTAGAGGCTCCTCGGCGCAGTATCATCCGAGATTGCTCATTGTCGCTTCGACACCGCGCGTGCGATGTCGTCCTTCACGCTGCCCCGCGGCGTCTTTCAGACACCCGAGCTGTCGCCCGAGACGAAAGCCACGCTGCGAGACCGGGGCCACGACCTCCTTCGCTCGTTCGTCGCCAGCGTCACCAAGAAGCAAAACAACGCGCTGGTCTGGGACCCGGTCGGCGACGCCCATGGCGTGAGCCTCTTCCAAGCCATGGACCCGAGCCACACGTCCGAAAACAAGCGTACGTTTCCTATGAAAAACGGCGCGACATTCAAAATGTTGCTAGACGTGATGCAGTACCGCGCGCTGGCCAAGATCAACGCGACTCTCGACGAAGTCGCGCGCCTGCACCGCTTTGACACCAAGGCGCAGTGCGACCAGTACCGACGACACTACGCCCACGACATTCTCGACCTGCTGCCGCTCTACGTCCTCAGCGAACCGACGAGGTCCGACGCGACGACGTCCCGCATGTACATCAAATGGGCGGTCATTCAGAGCCCGGTCGCGCTCATCAAGGACCGCGACTTTACCTACCTCGAGGTACACCCGATAGGCGCTCCAGTATAGGCCATGACCATCCTTTAGACGCAAGACGAATTCGTGCTTGAGACGGGGCGGCGTGGCTGGGCGTACTGCCAGTCGTCGATCTCGCTGCCAGGGTGCCCACCGCTGCCGCAGTATGACGTGGTGCGTGGCCACCTCGCCAACTCAGGCTGCGTGTTTCTGGAAACCGACAAGCCAGGGACACTCGACGTCATCTATCATCTTGGCACCGACGTTCACGGCAACGTGCCTCACTTTGTGCGCCAAATGGCCATCAAGCGCCGCGGCAAGTCGATCGCGCGCCTCGACAAGTACATCCACGAGATGCGCCTGAGTCAGCTCCCCATGCGTGCGAAAAGTGCGATGCCCCATGGCCCGCTCCCAAAGCATTGCGCCACGTGTTTTGTGTCGTTCCGCTTTCGCGCGTCCAAGATTTGCCAGAGCTGCGGCCAGGTACTGTTATCGATTTTTAAGGAAATTCTCATGGATGCAATGTGGACAGGTTGTCTGTTCAAAGTGCAGTCGCAAGTGGTCCCTGCACGTGCTCGAACACTCGAAAGCCGACGTGCGCATCTGCCACGTGTGCTCGCTCGCCGTGCGCGATGGCTCGGTGCGGGAAAAGGCCGTCGACGGCGCGCCCCGACGCCGCGGGGTCGAGAGCGCGTCGATGCCCGACGTGTACCGCCCGTCAGCGCGCTTTGGTGAAGACGAGAACCTCACGGCATCGATGCCGCGGCCGTTGACGCGCCGCCCATCCGACATGCTTCGGCGCCCGTCGTCGTCGAGCCAGATCAGTGACTGCAGCCGGGTCTCGACCTTGAGCCAAAGCTGCGACCTCTCGTACGTGGAAATGTATGGGCCACCCATGTCCCCGAGCCGGCGGTCGTCCGTGGCCCGGACTCAGCGCCGGCGATCGTCGGTGGCCATGCGCGTTGCACCGACGAGCGCACCGGCCAAACACATCCTGACCGACCATACGCCCGACTTGAGCGGCGACTTCGACATTATCGCCCCGGCCGTGACGACAACACTGCCATAGGATCCGACTGCAGCGTAGCATACTGTAGCATAAAAAAACAACACTAAAACGCCCCCTGCAATCTGTCTCATACGAAATCTGGCTTTTTGGTCCAGTTGCGAAATGCGAAATGTGCTGTCGTCGCTGCACGGCAGTCCTCATCACCGCGTACTACAGTACGTACATTCCACCGAGTGCAGACAGATTTGCCCACGCCATAAGCCTTCCTGCATTCAACTATTGCTCGATATGACCGCGGAAAATAAAGGGACTATATTTTGAGACCAAAAATGACGTGGGCAAAGAAACAGCCAATGAAACGCATCTGTTGTGCTCGAGCGCTTCGAACCCGGCTGGTGGCGCCTCTCGCACATCATCGCGTCCTCTGTCAGACACCAATTGGCATGCCAAACAGAAGCGATTCCCGCTGCCCGACGACTACTTCCAGGCGCCGCCGCTCTCGTTAGACGACGCCGACGCCTACCGCGCGACCGCCGACATCAACTTGGCCGACCTCGTTGCGTCGGCGACATCGCCCATGAAGCTACAGACATGGACACCGGTCGGCCGGACCAGCGGTGTCAACCTCTTCCAAATGCACTCATCTGCGTTGCCAGCCAACGCCAGTATGAGCGCCGACACCTTGTCGTTTCGAACACTTACCGATCCTGTAGGCTATGTCCCGTACCGGGCGGTGGCGCGCATTTCAGCAACGATCGACGAAGTCGCAGCGCTGCACGCGTTCGAGACGCGGACCAAGTGCTTCGAGTACATGCGCTGCTACGCCAGTGACATTCTCGACATCATTCCTCTCTACTCGCTCCGCGATCGGACGCCGGACGCGCCGCACCATCAAACGTACGTCAAGTGGGCCGCCGTGCAGTCGCCGCTCTCCGTCATTAGCAACCGCGATTACCTCTATCTCGAGGTACTACCTCTACGTAGTTTTTCCTCCTTTTCACGAGATAAAATAGGGCCAAAACACGTTTACCATGGCGTCCGGGCGCCGCGGGTGGGCGTACTGCCAGTCGGCGATCGAACTACCGTGCTGCGCGCCACTCAAGCAGCTCGACCTGGTGCGCGGGTCCCTCGAGCACACGGGGTGTGTCTTTCTTGAAACATCGACGCCCGGCATCCTCGACGTCGTCTACCACATTGCATCCGACTTCAAGGGTTCAATTCCCCAGTTTGCCATGCTTTTGGCGGTGCGCCGCCGAGCGCGCAAAATCACCATGGTCGACGATTACGTGCACCAGCAGCGGCTCCGCCACACGGTCCTGCTCGAGTCCTTGTCGATGACGTCGGTCCCGGCCACGACCCGTCCGAAGCACTGCATGCTCTGCAGTAGCTCGTTCCGGTTTCGCCGCCCCAAGACTTGTCAGCCCTGCGGCAAGGTATTTGGTCACCAGCGTGGTGCCTCTGAAATCACGTCTGTAGGTGGTATGCAGTAGCTGCAGCCGCAAGTGGACCATGCCGACCGACGCGAGCGCGCCCATGCGCGTGTGTCACGTCTGCTCCAAGACGGTGCGCTCATCGCTGCCGCCAACATCGATGCTCGGGCTTCGCGACACAGAGAGCATATCGGACACTTCGCTCGACGGGGAGAACGACGCGTGGTCGACCGAGCCGCCGTCGCAAGGTACCGCCAACGACGGCGTCGACATGGCCTATTTGCAAGTGTACGAATCGGCGCCACGGCGGCCGAAACCGCCACGCAAGAGCAGCTTGGACCTGCCGGCCCGACCGTCGATGCTGCGACCGCGCACCTTTTCCGAAGACGTCGACTATAGCACCGACAATTCGTTTCTGTACGACATTGACAGTCTCGTCGACCCCATGATCACGCTGCGTGTGCATAAATGCTAACTACATTGTAATACCACACCCTCTCTCTCCAATGTACCAGGTCGTCGTCGCATCGTATCCACTACTAGTACCATGATTTCACATGAACTCTATCCTGGATGACTCTTTTCTCTTCACTTGAAGCCGCCCGCACCCCGTACGCGACTGTAAGACGAGCCAGACGTGTCCGTACGCCACTGCCCGGTGAGGAAAAAGATTGCTACTACTTGTTGTCTTCAACAGATGGCTATTGCTACCGGGCGTCTGTACGCATGGGACATCCCCTCCGTACAAACATAATGCGAAACGCGCTCATTAATGCAAGTCGGCCAACCTCCTCCGCCCAAGCTCACTCGTACTCGCAGCGCATCGCGTTCGAACCGATCAACCCGAACCCCATTCGTAACCCTACCCCTCGCTTCTAAACGCTTTGGCACGGCTGCCAGTGTCTCTTTTGGCTACACTGCACTACTCAACACATTTGGTCATACAGTTTGCATGTTGCCTCTTACGTGGTCGTATAAAAGGTGTACCGCGCGGGCCACCCGGCCTTATCAAAGCAGGCAAAGGCACAGACCGTCGTGACGGCCGCGAGGTACCAAAACTGCCGGTAAAAGTCGGCGAGCATGATGCGCTGGATGCGGATGCGGTCGCGTCCCGTTTGCTGCGACGCCGGCATTTTCTGCATCTTGTAGGCAAAGATCTCGCGCGCCAAGAACGAGCCGCCGAGTCGCCCGAAAAACATTATGAGGCAGCGCAGCCACATGTTGAGGAGCGGCGGTGGGCCGTGCGTCGCAGCCTCCTCGGGTGTCTCGACCATCGAGAGCCACGAGAGGATCGAGGGCACGAGCACAAGCGCACTCGTGTCGGCCATCATGTCTTGCTCGGCAAGTTTCATGAGAAAGTACAGTTGGTGCAGCTGCGGCCCCGTGACCGTCGTAGTATTGTCGTCGTCGTCCTTGGCTTTAGGTGGCTCGGGAAAGCACGTCCGCCGTTGCCGCGCCGCCTACATGCCGTACATCAAAACGTCATGCAGCGAGCTTGTAATAGAGGATGGTCTACGGCAGGAGACGGGGGCAGGTGCGGCACCGTCATCCCATCGTCGTCGGTCTTGACGCTCGACTTGGCCGCGCGAAAGCAGATCGCGACCGACGACCCCAGACACATCTACCCCACGAAAACGACAGTTTAGCTTGCGTAAAAATAGAGTTCCGCACCGAGAGACATTGGAGCTTGGGGTGGAGGCAGTGGACGCTGAGCTGCGTCACGTCCGTGTACACGCCGGTATTGGCAAAAACCACATGCAAGTTGTTGATGACAAGCATGGCCACGTAGAGCATGTCGATCGGCGTGTCCGAGCCGACCATGAGGTACCAAAAGAGATAATAGTACAGCTGCGCGCTGTACAAGAGCGACGGGTAGGCGTACGGCTCGGAGAGCGTCTGGACGACGCGCGTGAGCATGAAGAGGTAGCCTTGCATGACGACCAAGAAGAGGCACGAGACGAGAAACTTGAGCGTGCCGCCGTCGTCCTTGTGGGTCGCTGCGACGACGGCAAAGAGCGTCAAGCACAGGTGCCCCACAAACACGGGCACGTGCACGAGGACGGTCGTAAACATAACGAGATAGTTGAAGTCGTACTGCGTGTCTGAGACATTGATGGCTTCGCTGGCGCGCGTCAACGGCGCTGGCATCTAATGCACTCCATAGTTTGTCCTAAAGGAAGAAGCGTCCTACCAAGAAGACATGGTACAGGAAATAGCCCACGAGACACGGCGAGAGCGCGTAGAGGGGCCACCAGTACATGTCGAGCGACGACGCCGGCGTCCGTGCTTGGCTTGGAAAGTTGGAGCAGATCATGGCAAAAAAGCACACTAAAATACTCGCGCCTGCTGCGTACAAGAGCCTACCGAGCATCGCATTTTGTGATTACCCTCGACCATGCAGAGCGAGCCGCACCGGTTGGAGATGGCGGTGGTCGGCGTTGGTGCCATTGTCGCGTCGTCGTCGTCGTCCTGACTGTCGAGGTGCAGCGGCAACAGCAAATCGTGCGGGTAGTAGGTCGACGAGACGACGCTGGTGGAGGAGGAGGATGTCGGCAGTGACGTCTGCGCCTCGGGGCGTGCGTCGTCCGACTCGACCTCGATGCGGATCGTGCGCGGCTGGATCGCAAAGCAAAAGGGCACGCCGACAAGACCGACGATGCCAAACATCGTGTTGCCCATGAGCCAGCTCAGCTTGCTTTGGCCAATCGAGATGCTATGGGTTGCGCTATGGCGCTTGCCCTCCGTAAGGACAAAGCACTCGATCAGGCTGTTGAAGACGCTAAAGACAGCGAGGCCATTCCAGAAGAGTGCCTTGAGCCGCGCGCTGAAGAGCGGGTAGCGATAGACGAGCGCAAAGGGCATCGCGATCACGAGCAGATTGCAGTAGTACCAGACAGATCCGGCCGCGGCCGCGTACCCGAGCACGCCCGCGAGGTGCCCGACGCAGCTCAGCGTCACCACGAGCAGCAGCGTTAGCACGGGAAACGTAAAGCGCCACGCGATAAAGTACCAGTCTTGGCGCCGCAGCCGGTGCGAGTGGTCGTGGCGCAGCCAGCGCAGCATGCTGCACGGCAGGCTTAGCAGCGCGCAGAGCGTGAGGAGGGCGAGCCAGAGCTGCTGGGCGAGCCGCCTGCACAAGCCGCCCACGATCATGCTGCCGAACAACGACCGTCGCCCGGATTGGATAAAACACCGCCAATCACCGCGCGATTCGTGGATCGGCATCTGCCGAAAATAAAAAGCGTCGCCGGATACACGCGATCACGAGGCGACTCCCGAGACGCTGCCGGGCGCGTCCTGGGGACCGAGGTCAGCTTGTGTCATGCCAGCCATGGTAACGTGGCACGGTGCACACTTTTCTTGAAAAAAACCTCACACTGCACGCCCTGCCTGGATTTAAAAATGGCATGTGCCGATTCCGCCATTTTGGATTGCATGGAGGGTAAATGACAGAACTGGGTGTGTTTGGTAAAAGCTGCGTCAAAACAGGAATTTGGAGAAAAAATAACCATTCGCTTAAGTTCCCGGCAGGGTATTGGGGTTGTTTGGCAAGTAGTCGCAGGGAAGGGTAGGTGGGGGTGATGAGAGGTGTTGAGAAAGGTTAAAGGATTGTTGTACAGGTTTTGTTTGCGGTTAAGGAGGGGTAGGAGGAGAGGGGCATGTGAAGACGCCGAGGCGAGCCACTTTGAGCCACCCTGAGCCACTCAATAGTAAAACCAAGTCTATGTATTTTTATGCAATTTACCCAGGTTTGGGTTGATTTGGGCCCACGTTCACCCAGTTTTGACATTTTCCCTTGCATGGAACCGAGACGACAGTCGACCCGGCAGAAGCGACCCGCGTCCGCCCAAGTGCCTGCACAAGAGCCGCCAGCGCCCAAGAAGACCAAGGTGGCGCGCACCAAGGTCGCTCCTGTGGTCCCCACGAAGGCCAAGGTGACGAGCGGCAGAGCCGTTCTTGTGGTGCTGCCCGGAGCCTCGGGCACGTTCAGCAAGGCCATGCACGACCTCGTGCTCTCGCAGCTAAGCGACGTCGTTGTGCACAACGCGATGGACGAGCGTTTGCGCTGGAGTACTCGAAAGGCAGCTGCGCCAGCCAACTTTGAGCTCGTTCGTAGCTGCTGCCCCTCCGCCGCAGACCTCGCGACGTACGGCGCCAGCAAGTTCTACGTGTTTGCCCATAGCTTTGGCAACCGCGTGCTCTGCGAAATGCTTGGCGCTAACGCGTTACCAGATGTTCACGGTGTCATTCTCTCGGGCTTTCCGCTCTACGGTCCCAAGAACAACGTATATTCAAGCCGCATCGAAGTGGTGTCTCAAGGGGAAGTAGGACGAGCGTGTAGACCAGTTGCGCCTCCTGCCTGCGGCAACACCGGCATTGGTTCTCAGTGGTGACGCCGACGAGTTTTTGAATCGGTCATTTCTCGACACCTCGGGTGCTGCGCTGCTCGAGGCTACCCTTAAAACACTCTCGCATACAGCACTCGACGTCGTTATCTTGAAGAGCGCTGGCCACGATCTGCCCAAGACAAAGGGCAAGGACGCCGCCGCGACGACCGCAGCCACTGCTACATACATGATCGAGTCCATCACTAGCTTTCTCACGACGCACCATGGCGCTTGAGCGACCGCGGCTTGCATTTTTGTCCAATTCCCCCACGTCGTTTTAACGCGTTTAACGCGTTTAACGTATGACGTGGCACGCTGTGGATGTTTTGCTTCCATTTGACGGTTTACAACTGGTTCAAATGCTCCGTACCCGCCACGTTTGTCGCCGCCCGCGTGTGCACAAGGCCGAGCTACCTGTACATCATCCATTTCTTTGGGGGCAGCGGCGTCGTGCCGAAGCGAACGCTAGCAACGTGGACTAGTAGGCGCCATACCAGCAGCGTACAGTGTAGTACAAGTACAAAATACCACAGCGTACCTACTTCTCACAGCGCGTCGGCGTGGTGTCGCCTAACGTTGAAATCGCCACGGGCACACCAAGTGTCGGAAAGGTCGACGCATTGCAAATCTGACACTTTTGTCCATGGAGAATGCATCGTTCCAGTCGCCTGAAAGTGGTTTTTGAAACGTATATTTTGTGTTGGGGACCGTTTCATGCGTTGGAAAAACAGGTCGCCGCCGCCTCTCTCCAGCCCCGACGCCTGCACAACATGTCCTTACCTACTTCGAGTACGCACCGCCACTTGCATCGCGCATGCCATCAACGACGCTGCGCTGCCATAAGCCACGGCTTGTACTATTATAATACATAGATGGCCCTCAAGTCCTAAAATCCGGATGTTGGGTGTCGTTTCCGGATGCTAATGACGTGGCATTTCGAACAACCCAGCAGGATGCGAATGAAGCGGCGGCGCCGGACAGGCGCCATGCAAGCTGCAGCTACAAGCACGCGTGCGAGCGAGTACATCGTATGGCCTGCGGGCATCCTACGTCTCCCTTGCAAGGCCTTGCCATCGTCGCGTGCCTTGGACGGTCGCTCGATCCAAGCCGATTGTGTGTTGAAATGTAGGGAGCCCATGCTTTAGGTTGCAGCACGCATGGTCTCTCGCCTTGGATCAGCGCCTTAGGCTACGTGCATGCCCCTGGGTCGCTGGGATCTCACCTCGTGCGTGCGGCTTCGCCTTAGTTCCGAGATCCTCCAGAAAGACGCCGGTCGTTTCGCCGCAATTTTTAGCTCGAAACCCAATTTCCGTCGTTGGCTATTTGCAGAGTCGCCGGCATGACGACGGAGCAGGCGCCGGTCCTCCCGACACCGTCGGCGTCCGTGCTCGACCCGACGCACTGGCGCATCGTGCACCTCAACCGCCCAGCCGCCAACGCCGGGTTCCCTGACAACGCGGTCGCGACGAGCAAGTACTCGTTCTATAGCTTCGTGCCCGTCTTCCTCTACGAGCGCTTGACGCGGGTACGCTTCTACCTCGCCATCGCCGTCGATCCTCATCAATACGGCGCAGGTGGCCAACTTTTACTTTCTCCTCGTTGGCGTCGGCCAGCTCCTGCCCTCGATCTCGTCGACGCTTGGCCTACCGTACCAATGGTACCCGCTTCGATATGCTACTCGCATCACGACGAGCTCATGTGCATGCCACAGGATGGTGCTCTCGATTGTGCTCTTTGTGGATGGCGTGTTTACGGGCCTCGAAGACCTCGCGCGCCATCGCGCCGACGCCGTCATGAACGCCCGGACGACGCTCGTGTACGACCCACATAGCGCCAACGCGTCCGACCCGTTCGTGCAGCGAACATGGAAGGATGTGGCGGTCGGCGACATTCTTCAAATCAAAAAGTACGAGGCCGTGCCCGCCGACGTCCTCCTCCTCGCGGTAGCCCGTCGCCTTGCCCTTCTTCGCACGTCGTCATAAATGGCCTGCTAGGTGCACGAAGCGAACCCGTCGTCGCCCATTGGCATGTGCTTTGTCGAGACCAAGTCGCTCGACGGCGAGACGAACCTTAAGATCCGTCAAGCACTTACGTGCACGTACGCGCAGCTCTCGGACCCAAGCGCGCTCGGTCGTCTGCCTGGCCGCGTCTTTAGCGAGCTGCCCAACCACGATATCAATAGCTTCACGGGGCGGTACGAGCCAGACGAAGGCAGCGATACGCTCTTCCCCCTCGACCTCAAGAACGTGGCGCTGCGCGGCTGCGTGATTCGCAACACGCCATTTGTGTACGGCCTCGTCCTCAACACTGGTACATAGCATTATTCCTGCACATGCCCATGGAAAGGCTCACGAATATGGGGTAGGGACCGACACCAAAGTCATGCAGTCGTCCAACAAGACGCCGACCAAGACGAGCAAGGCGCTTGAGATCATCAACCGTGGCATCTTCATCTTGATGGCTATTCTTATTGCGCTCTGCTTTCTTGGCACGATCTTGGATCTGACGTGGATGCATGCCAACGCGCCGTGGTATCTCTACTTTGGCGTCGGCGATGCGCTCAACGCCTTCACGGTCTCGTTCTCGGGCGGCGTCGTCATGTTTGGCTACTACTGGATCCTCATTGCATCGTTTGTCCCGATCACGCTCTACGTGTCGATCGCGATAGTCAAGAGCTACCAAACCATCTTTATGAACCGCGACCTCGGTAGTCGATTTTTGAGATTGGGTAGTGGGTAGTTGACCGCGACATGCACGGTGTAGGCATGTACCACGCGCCGTCCGACACGCCGGCCATGGTGCGCAACGCCGACCTCAACGACGAGCTCGGCCAAGTGACGCACATCTTTAGCGACAAGACGGGCACGCTGACCGCGAATGAAATGAACTTTCGCAAGCTCTCGGTTGCCGGTCGATCGTACGGCCGCGGCTCGACCGACATTGGCCGCGCGGCCCAGACACGCGCCGGTCGCGTCGCCTCCGTCACCGACATGGAAGCCGAGCCCCTCTCCGGCCGCACGATCCCCAACGTGCAATTTCTCGACCCGAAGAACGAACTCGCAAAAGACTGGCTCATTCCGCACCAAGCGGCCAACTTGGCCAAGTTCCTGACGCACCTCGCCGTGTGCCACTCGGTCGTGGTCGAGACGGACGATGCCACCGGCGCGTCGAGCTTTTCAGCGTCGTCGCCCGATGAGCTCGCGCTCGTGGCGGGCGCCGCCTTCTTGGGCTTCACCTTTGTCGGTCGGTCCACGGGCAAATGCACGGTACGATCCTATATCCTCTTGTAGCAGCGGGATGGAGAATGATTCGTGTAGATGCGCCGGCTTGTGCAGGGGGCTGCGTGCGACGAGGAATTTCAGATCCTCGAGCTCATCGAGTTCACGTCGACGCGGAAGCGCATGTCGGTCATCTGCCGCACGCCTAGCAACCGTCTCTTGCTCATGACCAAAGGCGCCGACATGGTACTTGGTGTCACTCTTTCAATGGACTCTTAAAGCGGATGATAGATCATCTACCCGCGGCTCGCCGCCGACGTGCCGGACGCGTTAAAGCGCCAGACGATGGCCCACATGGAGCAGTATGCGGCCGATGGGCTGCGCACGCTCGTGATTGCGCAGCGCACGCTGGACGAAGACTGGTACACGGCGTGGGCGGCCGACTACAAGCACGCGCTCACAACGCTCGACGATACCTCGCCCACGTATACGGTACAAGCCTCGTTGCCTTTTCACAACAACAATTGCCAATACATCGAATGCAGGAGGACTTGGCGCGGATCGAGGCACTGGAAGAGACGATGGAGACGGACCTGGAGCTCCTTGGCGCGACTGCCGTCGAAGATCGGCTCCAAAACGGCGTGCCTGAAACCATTGCGTGCCTCTTGAACGCCGGCATCAAAGTCTGGGTACGTGTCTCGATGGATCGTTTGATTTTACGTTGAAACAAAGGCTGATCCGCGCCATATCTGCACTAGGTCCTCACAGGTGACAAGGAAGAGACGGCCATCAACATCGCGTACGCGTGCCGGCTCTTGACCGACGACATGGACCGCATGGTCCTCAACAGCGATGCGTGCGGCCCGAGCGAGGACATGGCAAGCTATCTTCAGCGGGTCTTGACCGAGCGCGTCAAGGTCGTCCGGGCGTACGAAGCCGCGCGCGGCACCTCGAATTCGTTCCAGAACGTCCAAGCCCAAGCGATCGTGATTGACGGCCTCGTGCTCAAGGTTGTCTTGACGTACCCGCAGCTCAAGTTTCTCTTTCTCGAGATTGCGCAGTGCTGCAAGGCCGTGATTTGCTGCCGCGTCTCGCCCAAGCAAAAGGCCGAGGTCGTCGCGCTCGTCAAGAAGAACGTTGCCGACTGCCGGACGCTCTCGATCGGCGACGGCGCCAACGACGTGAGCATGATCCAAGAGGCCCACATCGGCATTGGCATCTCGGGCCACGAAGGTCTCCAGGCGGTCAACGCCAGCGACTTTGCGATCGCGCAATTCGAGTTCCTGCGCCGGCTCCTCCTCGTGCATGGCCATTGGAACTACCACCGCATGTCCAAGCTCGTGCTCTACGTCGTGTACAAGAACATCATTTGCTACTTTAGCGTCTACGTCTTTGCGGTCTACGCGGGCGGCTCGGGCACCTTGTACGTCAACAACTACTGGCTCAACGGCTACAACATCTTTTGGACGTTCCTCCCGATCATGATTGTCGCCGTCATGGAGCAAGAAACGTCAGCGTCCATGGCCTACCATAACCCGGGTCTGTACCACATTGGCGCCCACGGCGAGATGCTCAGCTTGCGCATCTTTACAGCGTGGATCTTTGAAGGGCTCTACGAGGCAGTATGTACCAAGAAATATCGATGAGAGCAAGGCGACGTAGTGTATGTGTAGGCGGTGTGCACGCTCGTTCCGCTCTATCTACTCGGCAGTGTGGACTCGCAAGGCAACTCGTTTTCACTGCTCAACGTCGGCGGCGTCTCGTTCTGTGCCGTCATTGCCGTCGGGTGGGCGAAACTGGGTCTCAACACGGTCTCGTGGAACCTTGGTATTTCAGATTAAGGTTGAGAGTGTGTGTTTGATGACAAGGACGTAGGCATGCACTTTGCCATGTGGGCCACACTGCCGTTCTGGGTCGTCTCGGGCTACGTCATTTCCAACTTTATGTCGAGTGCGATCACGGACCACATTTTCCCGTACATTTGCACGCTGCCCGAGAGCTACATGATTGTGTTTCTCTGCGTCGTCATGGCACTTTTCCGGGATTTGATCTACAAGAGCTACAAGCGCGAGTGGCGCCCCGAGTACTACCACGTCCTCCAAGAGGCCGAGAAGCTCGATCTTGGCGAAAAGATTGCGTGGACGGGGCCCGTCATTCCCAAGCACTACAAGCCGTTCATGGTCGACTTTCGGTCGTACCTGACGTCCGAGCTCAAGCCGCTTCGAGGTACGTGCTTGCTTCTTTCGAGCATTTGCCGAATCGCTCGCATTAGATCCGACGCTCGCGATTCATATTGTCAAGTCGCCACGCGGCGCGGTGCTGCGACCGCCGGCGTACTGCGGCTTTGCTTTCTCGCAGGCGACGCTGGAGGACCGACACGGCGGCGCGTTGCGGAGCCTCATTTTGGCGCCGGTGCGGACTCTGCACCACGTGGAGCACGCGCTGGCCCGTGCGCTGAGCCCCCGCGCCGCGTTGGCCGCCGAAGTGCAGTTTTGGCGCGGTGTCGACAGCATGGACGTGCCGCACTACTACCAAGTCCAGCGGTACACAAACCTAGAACGCATGCAGCACCTGAGCATATTCATGTCATAGGTACCAAGTGTTTTTGGGCTGGAGCGCGCCGTTTACGCTGGCCGACCCGCTCCAGTTTTGCAATCGCGACATGGCGCTCGGCGCGAGCCACCGCCTTAAGACGCACGAGACCGACTGGATGATCGACAAGAGCATTGGCATTGAAGAAGCGTGCGAGGCGGACGGCGGGCACTGGGAGTATGCGACAAAATTTGCCGACTTTAGCAAATTGGACCTCGACCGCGAGAATCTGCGGGTCAAGCACCCGGGAAAGCTCAAGCGCGGGATCAACAAGATCATGGGGCGCTGCGTGCGTCGACGCCGGTGGATTAAGGCACCCGAGACACCGGCCATCGAGGCCACTGACCAAGTGCAATTAGCCATGCACGACACGACCACGCCGTAGGCGCCCCGATTATTTACATGCACCGTACTTGAATGCGTAGTAATGTATTTGCATACTCATGGACCAAGAAGTCTCTTGAGAGAGTGAAAAGTCTCGCTTCAAATCATCTTTTCACGGGTAGCGAGGGGTTGTTGAAAGATGCAACCGGCAAGAAGGTACTACTAGTGCAACGATTGCGACAGAGCGGGTTGCGACACCACCACCAAGTAGCTTGCGCCTTGGATTGCTCGACGGATTTTCGAGGCTTCAAGCCGCAGCCTTTCCTTCCACTCATCGACAAGCTCGTAGACGACGACTCGGCTTGGACCGCATGAACCTCATTGACATGTAGTAGACTTGAAAAAACCAGTCGACGACCCCGTTGAGTGCAAAGATCCAAAAGATGTCTCAATCAGTCCGACGACGACGCTACAATAGATTGATGCGCCACAATATGAACGAATGCGATCCACTGATGCCCGTTTCAGCTAGGCCAGTGTTCGATTGTCGAGAAGAGGGAGGAAAGAAGCGGGCGGAGATGCCGTGCAATCCCCAAGGCGACCGGTGGCGAAGGGCCAGCGCCAACCATCGATACGATCAGGTCGATAGCAAGAACTGAGATATAAAGTACTAGCAAGTTGTCGTACAACGCGTATAAGATCTGAGTGCAGTGCACCTCGTCGTTGGTGCAAACAATGGCATCGATGGCGATCTTCGCGTTGCCGTGTCCGGATGCGCGAAGAAGTCCGGATAAAATTGACGCGGTATCCAGGATCTTCCCAGAATGAAGTGAAGAGCCACGGGAATAACCGCCGCAGCATGCCATTCTTGCTTGGCGTGATGGACGATCGCATGGAGCCGACGCGGCTTTGGGCGCCCAAGGAAGAGGCCTTTGGGCCCGCCGACGCCCACATCCTCGCGACGCTCCTCGGCCTGCGCCCGCCGGCCGTGCCCAAGCCGCATGTGTGCGACGTGTGCAAGAAGCAGTTCCGCGCCAAGTCGGAGCTCGTGACACACGAGCGGACGCACACGGGCAGCAAGCCGTTCGCTTGCAAGTACGACGGCTGCAACAAGCGCTTTGCGCATAGCTCCAACCTCGGCGCGCACCACAAGGCGCACGAAGGCATCAAGCCGTACATGTGCACGCACGACGGCTGCAACAAGCGGTACGCCCACAGCGGGTCGCTCAAGGAGCACGTCTGGAAGCACTATGGCGTCAAGCCGTTCGCTTGTCAAGTCGCCGACTGCAACCGGACCTTTACGCAGCGCTCCAACTTTGCCCGCCACATGAAGAAATGCCACGGCGTCCCACCGTGATGCTGCGTATTTAATGACATCAATAACGTCTCTACTAGCTTGGCTCAGATTGTCATCGAGTGCCACTGCAACAAGAAGAACGTGTCGATCCTTTTCCAAACTTCACAAACCCAGTAAAATACACAGGCTCGTGAAAGGTCAGCATTTGTGTCGACTCAAAACGCATCCCAACGGCTGCCGAGGTACACTCGACGACGACGATGGAGGTGCTTGTCATGCTGACGCCGCCAGAAGCGGCGTCGCTCAAGACTATGCTGCTTCGACTCGCCTCCGATGCCATCCATGGCAAGACCACGACGGAAGAGGTTTCGAGGCAAAAGACTGCATTGTCTGCAATATGAAAGACTAGCTTTATAAATAGTGTAGGTAGCCCACAAGCCGGTCGACTACGCGTACAAGTAGATCTATACCCGCGGGTAGGGGCATCGTTGTCGCGCCATGAGAGAAGATACGAGCAAGTGTACCTTGGTGCCCTTGTAGTCGCCGGTGGCCGTCGGTTGCCACGACGGTATCGAAAAGATGTTGGTGCAAATGCGGACGCCATTCGCCTTGGCGGCCTCGAGCCTATTCCGCGGTCGCTATTACATGGGCGAAGAAGAAGGCATGGGCGTACATGGGCAGCATGGCCTGAATGCCCTTGGGCACGAGGTAGAGGAAGATGAGCGTCGCATCCGAAAAGTCAGACTTCGTTGCGTCTTCTTGGCGGATCGTGACGCGGTCGGTCACATCATGCTCGTGGATCAAGGCGTGCGCGCGCTGGACGAGGCTGGCGTCGCACTCAAGGCCGACGCAGCGGCTGCCGCACTGCTTGGCGATGGCCACAAGTAGCCGCCCGTCGCCGCAGCCAATGTCGTAGACGACGTCGTCCTTCGTCGGCGCAAGGAGGCGCAAGGCGACGTCGATCGCACCGGCACCGGTCGGGTTGAACGGCGCGAGGGTCGTCATGCTCGTGGCGAAATGCAGTGTCTTTGCCTCTTCGGCGTCCATTCGGCGTCCGGATAAGTACGGATCGCGTGCTTTGCATAGTCTAATCGCACGCGCCCTTGCCATTGTGCGTCGCTGTACATGAACGTGTCTACCCTGCGAGAAGACGTCTTCTGCATCGACGTATGGAATCGCACACAGAGAAAAGATAGTGATGGTACCACAGCGTCCATCGATTCGGCGTGATGAATGCGTCGCCGGGTTTGGATCCAAGCAATTGCGTGCATTTAGTGTGTGTAAAACACCGCCTTTGGCTGTGATGAACATGGTGGGGTGTAAAAAGAAAGAGCCAATCAGCGAGCGCTAAAGCAGTGGAATGGTGGGCACATTTGTCGGCGACGGCCGCTTCGTCGGCGACGGCGGCGCGGCACTCCAGTGTTTGTGGTACGTTGTTCTCATACACTGTTTATATGCATGCTCAGACACTGGATAGGAGCCAGTGGAAGTGGAAGATGATTCCCAACTGCCCGGGACGGTACATTGTCAAGAAGAACCGCGACATTGTGCGATTGCACCTCGCAGATCTCGTTGCTTTGCTGAATTTAGACGTCGTCGACGACGAGACGGCGCTTGCTGGCGGTCTCGCGTTGTCGTTGACGGGGCCGGTTCGACTGCTTCAGACGACGAGTCCGGTGATTGCCGACACGGTTGGCGTCGCGCTCTTCCCTGGCGGTGGCGGTGTCATCACCTACTGCAAGCCCACAGGAGATTACGTCCACACGCTCAACACCCACAGTGGGCTCGCGCGCAAGCTTGCAGGTCTTCGTTTGATTTCAAGCTCAGAGCCACCGTTGGATCCGAGTGATTAACCAGTGACAACAAGATGGCGAGGCATGAAAGGTCTTTCAAAGCACGTTGGAGCGCAAAACACATTTATTTATTTTTTAATAGTTGTTGACATCGGAAGGGTTCAAGGGTGCGTTCGGTGTGGCCATCACACAGATCACGCGGAGGACGAATCACGTGGGATCATGCCGCCGACGGTACAGACTCTTGCATTACTTTCTCTTCTTCCTTGCGAGTACATACTACAGGCACTTCTGCGGCGTTCTCCTGCAAAAAGTGAGAGAAATGCTCACGAGTTGGCGACGCTTTCGTAAATGTGCATCGTGATAGCGTGTCGCGTCTACGGGTGGGCACGCAGTATGAAGAGCAAAACCCTGGATGTCACAGACATTAGGGAATGACGGGTGATCATCACGACCATGCAGGCTGGCGTGATGCGCGCATGCTTGTTGCTGGTATGATGTGATGCGCGCATGCTTGTTGCTGGTATGATGTGCTTCGCTCTGCGCCGAGATACAGCGGCGAAGGACCGCTGGTAGTGCGATTGTTGCCGCGTTATGTTACTTGGAAATTGGCTGCATGGTCATCCCTCGCTTCACGATCGAGTGTCACGTGCAATTCGATGTCTCGTGTATGAAAGCGGTATACACAAACCTAGTTCAAGCAACTTGTCGTCGTTGGAGCTGCTACAGTTGTTGGAGGTGTGTCCTGCACCGGGATGCAATTGTCCTCGATCGTTGTGCAGAAACAAAAGCCATTTTCAACCGTTGAAAGGAGCAGGTAGACTCGGCGTCAACACGCAATGTAACGACTGCGGGTTGAGCAAAAGATGACGCGCTAGTGGCGCAGGACACTCGCACGCGACCACGTTCTTCGTGCAGCAGCACAACTCGTGTCGAGATGCCTGTTTTCAAACCCACGTTTCGGATCGAGGTCCCAGCATGTCCTGCTTTCGCGTGGCATTTGCCTATTCAGTACTTACACTATATCTTATATATGGTATAGTGTGTACCCATTGTCGTATATAGTGTACTTTTGTATAAATCACGCTGCCAAGACCAAATTTACCGTAAATTTACACTTCTCTAGCTGAACTCATCTGGTTTTATGCGGAAACACCTGGTCTTATGCGGATTTGTATGCGCCATGCAGAAATGACGAGACTGGATTCGTGGTATTGCTCTTTTTTGTCTAGCCTACATGAAGAAATCATGCATTGGCAAAAGTAGCAATGCCAAAAATACTGTCCCAAACCGGAAATTAAGACCGTACTTATACAGGATCAGATTCTACAGTACAGTTCTGTTCAGGTCAGGCGGTGTATTACCGTAATTACCCTATGGGTTTCGTTCTTAATGTGGTCCTTTGCCGAGCTACTTGAGCGACCTGTAGCACTTGATTTCTTCCCACTACTCTCGCACGGTCAAGCCTCAGCAGAGCACGAGTTGGGGAGACCAATCGATGCACCGCGGGGCCACGTCGGCGCTTTCGCGGTCGTGAGCCAGACCCGTGTTGCGGAGCTCCACTTGGATGCGACCTTGGGCCGACCTGGAGCTGCAGCACCCGAAGGTACACGGGGGGTGCTCACTTGAACTCGCGGGCTGATGGAAGTCGTTTGCTGGGGTTGGACACTGTTGAATGCATGGCTGATGTTGAAAAGGCTCGTCGGCTGCGAAGATTGGACGGTGGACGTATGTCGCTATCGTGCTAGTTGAGTGCGTCGAGCTCCGCAGCGACAGTGCGTGGAAGTCGGCGA